AACATCTGCCCCACCGGGATTCGAACCCGGGACCTCTCGAGTCGGCGACACCATGAAACCCAGCGTACGAACCACTCGGCCGCGGAGGTCGTCAATTAGTTGTATTAGTTAGGATTAGTTACTACGTGATCATGGCGCTTACACCAGTGCCGAAATAACGGCATAATAAATTAAAAAAAACGAGCGAGCCTTACGTAGTCGCGTATGATGTGTAACATTTGAAACCTCACCTTATATTAGTAAAAAAAGAAATAAACCCTACTACAAAAGGGATAAGCCATTTGAACATTATGTTCTAAAATCAAATCAAATAGCACGCGCTTACGCGACTTCCTGTTTACACACTTCCGTCCATTTCACGAAATCACTCCCACAAATTGCAGGAAAGCGAGAGGAAAGATGTTACACGTCAAAAATTAAAGAAGGAAAACTATTTTAATGATAACAAACATATGTTTTTTAAGTTACACTATGTAAAAATAAATATAAAAAGCTCATATTGTATGGTCATTTATCGTACCACAGCAGACGCCGTTTTGGCATTGGTCAAGTCGTGCTTGATACTTATTGAACTGTTAGGGCTATTTAAAGCTATATTAAGTGTACATACCTATTCTCAGAACAATATCTTTGGTATCCGTACTAGCAATTAGAGTAGTAACATAATAATCAGACCCGTCTTTCCCAGTGGGCACTTTGGGCAAGTGCCCCGCGATAGTTCCTGTTAGATCACCAAACGGGGGTCACAGGGGCCCCATTATCCTAATTTGTCCAGGGCCTCCAATAGGTCAAAGACGACACTGATAACAATATATAAAAGTGTAGGGACGACCAAAATTAAAAAAAAAATAAGTCCTACAAATGACGCTACGAGTAAAGATAGACTACATTGTCAATAACGGAAAAAATAAATACTTTAGGAGTTTCAAAAGCTTAGTTTGATTTTTGTCCACAAAAGCACGTTGTTTCCTTTATTTTATCCTAACATCTGTTTGATTGAATCAATGAGCTACTAAACAATTATCAAAATCGGGGTCCCGAAAATCCATTACAAAGTTCCATTTTTTGCCGCCAAAACTGAGGAACCAACACGCATGTGGTCTTAAAACATAATTACAGGACTTTACTCGGCCTGTCAAACTTAATGTGTAAATAGTAGCCCTCGATCGTGAGTGTGTTAAAGAACCCACTTGCAAAGCGAGGCGTCAATTTTATCGGGAAACCAATAATTACGCCATTAGATACTCAATCGATATCCTATTGAACGCTCAATTTTAGCGCCATTTATTTCCTTTTTTTCTATTCGTACTGAGCAAAGGAAATTGTGACCATTCAGTCTGTCCGCCTATTATTATTTTCTATAATCTAAGGGTACGTCTATTACGTGCTACATCTATAATTATTTCGATGAGTTCAGAAATGCGCATGTCACAATATTTTCACCTTACTACACATAAAAAAGTTATATCCATTACTTCGGATCTTTTTTGTGAATTCAACGAATAAAATCTATATTCACGCTTTTGAACCGAATAAAGCACTTTTATTGAACTAAAACAGTGCGTATTCTTTTTATAGCACCTATCTATCGGATCTATAATAATTAAAAAAGCGTATATATTGTTGTAGGTCGTTGCTGGAATTTTTATTACGGCGCCATTTTATCTTTACTGCACTCCATACAGTAATATTGGCTTTGAAATGAAAGTTTGTGAGAAAGCACAGGTGGTGGTTATAATGAGCCAGGCTTAGAGACCTGGCTTTGCTCATTATATTAAAGTCGAGTGGTTATATCGATAAGGGAATCGAATCGACCACCGTGGCTCTATCTACCTTTATCTTCTAATCTTCCATTTCGCGTGAGATTCTTCCGTTCTGATAGTTAATATTAACTGTGAGTGCTATGGAATAACAGTGATAGATTGTTGTTTTTTCCGATGTTACCAATAAAGTTGATAAGATTTTATGAGAATATAGTAAAGCAAAGTAGGTGATCTAAATAATTATTCTTAATACTAGTCTAACTACTCTACCAGTCTACTAGTCTAAGAGTTTACCTTATAGATCAACGGAGGCAGGGTTTGAGTCCTTTGTTTGCGACCGTCAAAATATAAGGCATAAACAAATGAAATCAAAATAATTTAATTAGTGTAGGCTGATACAAGTGGTTACAAACACTCCTGAATATCTAAAAGATAAGCCATGGGTTCGTAAATCTACGACGGGAAACCTTGTACTGAGAAGAACCGGCAAGAAACTCGACAAGGGCTGTTTTTTCTTCCTGTGTTACTAAGAGTCTACACAACTCCAAACCCCGAGAGCTTTCAACTGGAACTTCAAAAGAGCTTCGAAGCCATTGAAAACAGCTTAGATGTGGACGATCTGAACAACACGGTGGTGAATACTTTCCGTACTGTAGGGTTCAAGTATTTTATTAAACTCTCGTACTCATGGAACAGCGGAACGAAATGAGACTACAGAATTCAGGAGATGCATATCAGTACCGGCGACTGACGAGCGATCTTGCCCAATTTAATATAGATCGTATCAAGGAAGCTATCGAACGCAACAACAGCTCCAAATTGTTCGCGAGAGATTTGTCTATTGGACAGAGTCAACTGACGAAGCTGAAGATTGACTGCGATAGCATCTTTTTGATTCAGGCTGAAATCCTGAAAGAAATTAAGACGTTCTACGGACAGCTATATTCCACGCAAGCACCTGTTGAAAGCAAGACTAGACCCCATAGCCCAACCTACTCTACACTATACCGAAGATATCCCGGATTTCAGCCTGTATGAGAGTAGTATCACTCTCAAACAACTTAAAAACAACAAGGCGGCGGGCGATGATGGAATCACAGCAGAAATTTTGAATGCGGGCGGTAAGCCGATACTCAAAGTCCTCCAGAAAGTGTGCTTTGGAGAGTCACTACGAATCGTCTAGCACGCATGTTTGTCGGTTCCGACCGCCCGTTTTCCAAAAAGGCTTCAGCGTCGTAAACCACATTCATACGCTTCCGCAGGTTATACAGAAGACCGAAGAGTATAATCTGCCACTTTGTTTGGCGTTCGTGGACTATGAGAAAGCCTTCGATTCTATTGAGACCTGGGCGGTGTTACAGTCTCTCCAAAGGTGCCAGGTAGACTTCAGGTACGTCGAGGTGTTGAGGTACCTTTACGAAAACGCCACTATGTCATTCCGATTACAAAACCAGAGCTCTAATCCTGTTTTACTGCAGCGAGACACAGTGCATGATACAGGGAGATGTGATATCTCTGAAACTGTTCACAACTGCATTGGAGGATGTTTTCAAGCTTCTGCTTTGGAGTGGAAAGGACGAGGCATCAACATCAATACTTTGAAAATTTCTGGAACGAAGTTCCTTTTCGAACGGTATAACGCATAGGAGTTCCCCCAACTCCTATCCGCTATACCGTTCGAAAAGGAACTATCACAACCTAGCGAGGCAGCTAGATAGACAGCTGGGTGGGAAGCTACATGGGCAGCTACGTGGACGACCTCTGAAGGTTTAAAGTTTTTTTTAATGGTTTGACGGAATCGGAGGATCGTTCCATGATTCACCACACGGACAATCTCTATGTTTATTTTATTGAGTGATGCGCTTTATGTGGATCTGAGATTTAAACTTCTCAACTTTCACAAGCCTTGAATAAATGATTTTTGATTTGGCATGAAATAAAAAGCATTCTCTTTAGATATGTTACTATGTATATCCTTCCATGATGTTATTTTAAACCGTGCTAAAGTTTAGTCACAGAATTGTTCACTAATTAACTAGGTACCTATAACAGGTGAAGAATGGTCGGCATTCCTCGAGTTATAGACGATATTTAATAATTAATATCAAATTGCTCGGCGGTACCTACTACGGTCAGCGGTATTAATATTAATATAGGTGCATGTTACAACGGGATAAATTATGATGATTTTTATTTCATAAGGGTGACATATAAACATAATTGATCCCTTGGATGGATGGTATTCCAATATACGCTTTGAATTATTGCGTATACGCTTTCTAAGATTGACTTGTTACTTTGTAATTTAAAAGAAAATCAAAAACACAAATCAGAGCTTATTTTTCCCGTAACTACGTTACTTATTAAAGCTTTATCGATCAGTTATTCTAAGCATCGTTTGAAACCTGTCAACTTTCTTTCTGGTGAACATCTTAGACCGCAACCTAATCATTGCCAAATATGTCGTGGATATGGAGTGTGACAATGGGAAAAATATATATTCATACTCATACACATTTGATAGAGTGATGGTATTATTCTAAACTCGCAAAAGAATAGCGTAACTTTAAATGGACAAGATTGGCAAAAACAAATTTAATTTTGACCATTATGCTACCACGGCCCTTTTCGCCGCGTCGAAATTTTCCTAGCCTTAAGCTGCAAGGCAGCGCCATCTCTTCGCATTGTAGACAACCCACAATGTCAAATGAATACTTTTTCAAGTATTAAACATTTGAAAGAAGAAATAGCAACTATAGTTATGTTTTTTTTAAGCATTTAACTGCTAGATGTTTAAATCTAAAGAAAAGTTTACTAGAAAAAAATGCTTAAAAAAAACATAACTATAGTTGCTATTTCTTCTTTCAAATGTTTAATACTTGAAAAAGTATTCATTTGACATTGTGGGTTGCCTACAATGCGAAGAGATGGCGCTGCCTTGCAGCTTTAGGCTAGGAAAATTTCGACGCAGCGAAAAGGGCCGTGGTAGCATAATGGTCAGTGCATTCGCCCGGATTGCGAAGGGTGCGGGTTCGTGTCCCGTCCGCTGCCTGGTCCGCGTGGATTTTTTTCTAGTAAACTTTTCTTTAGATTTAAACATCTAGCAGTTAAATGCTTAAAAGAAAAAAACATAAATTTAATCTTTTCACGTTTTTTTTTAATCAGAAAAAGTTAATCACCTATTTTTTCCGCTCGATAATTTTGGAAAGTTTTTAATTTCAAGATCTTTCTTTGCAGCAAGTGGCGACGCCTACCGTCGTGAAGAAGATCCTGCGTTTGAAGCAGGAGAACCCTGGCATGTTCGCGTGGGAGATACGCGAGCGACTGCTGAGCGCGAGGGTGTGCGAGCCGCACTCCATACCGTCAGTGTCTTCTGTCAACAGAATCCTGAGAAACAGTGGGTTGGCTTGGAGCGACGAGGAACCGAGGAGTGGGCATGGTAGGTATTTGTTTTTAATATTGTCTACGATGGTAAGCAGAAGAACCCTGGCATGTTCTCGTGGTAGATACGCGAGTAGCTGCTGAGCGCGTGGGTGTGCGAGCCGCGTTCCATACCGTCAGTGTCTTCTGTCAACAGAATCCTAAGAAACAGTGGTTTGGCGTGGAGCAGCGAGGAACCAAGGAGCGGGCATGGTAGGTATTTGTTCTAAATATTATCTACGATGGTAAGCAGGAAAACCCTGGCCTGTTCGCGTGGAAGATACACGAGCGGCTGCTGAGCGCGTGGGTGTGCGAGCCGCATTCCATACCGTCAGTGTCTTCTGTCAACAGGATCCTGAGAAACAGTGGTTTGGCGTGAAGCAGTGAGGAACCAAGGAGCGGGCATGGTAGGTATTTGTTTTAAATATTGTCTACGATGGTAAGCAGGAAAACTCTGGCATGTTCGCGTGGAAGATACACGAGCGGCTGCTGAGCGCGTGGGTGTGCGAGCCGCATTCCATACCGTGGGTGTCTTCTGTCAACAGAATCCTGAGAAACAGTGGTTTGACGTGGAGCAGCGAGGAACTGATGGGCAGGCATGGTTGTTTTCGTTTTTATTATTGTCTACGATGGCAAGCAACCCAGGCATGGTCTCGTGAGAGATACACGAGCGGATGCTTAACACGAGGGTGTGCGAGCCACACTCTATACCGTTTGTGTCTTCTGTGAACGGATCCTGAAAATCAGTGCGTTGGTCTGGTGCGACGCTGAACCAAGGAAGGGGCATTGTACGTATTTGTTTTTAATATTGTCGACGGACGCCGGCAAGCAAGAGATCCCTGGCATGTTCCTACAGAAGATATGTGAGCGGCTGCTGAATGCAAGGGTATGCACTCTTTACCGTCCGTGTTTACTGTGAACAGAATCCTTAGAAACGGTTGGCTTGAAGCGACGAGAAACCGAGGAGAGGGCATAATAGGTATTTGTTTTTATTATTGCTGGCGATGGCTGTTTGTTAATTTAGAGATGTATGAGCGTTAGCGTTACGTTTCTTTCTGCCTTTACTAATACCTCTTTATACATCGTTAATTTTAATTTACCGGAGAAACTAAATAATCGTTTAAATATAAATAGTAAGAACAGCATAGATTAAAACATAAAGAGAAACTACAGTACGCTCACACTAGCATCAAATGAAATATCATCAGACTCAACTACATCAGCAAATCACACACACGGACACTTCTGTAAATTAACATTCAATCGAGCGAGCGAGACAGAATTGTAGGCTTCAAAAAAAAATTAAATACAGAAAAAACAATGCGGAAATATAACCCAAATCGTTGTCTGAATTAGCTAGTAACTTTTCTCATATTAAAATTAATCTAACTTTAGTCACGCCATAACTTAAAACGACATTTCCGATTTCATTTATCTATTCTTTAAAGTTTTGTAATACTTAGTAGAAGGTTCTTATAGAAAAAGAATTCAAAAAAAATGCATCAAACTAAAGTTAACAGGGACAAAGCTATAATTGTTCATAGAAATTGCAAAAATCTTTAAAAGAAAAAACTTTTTAAGCTAAAAATATCACTTTCGATAACTATCTAAATTATTCTTATTAGAATCCTCCATGATGCATCAAAAAAACCAATTAGAGCCCTAATCGGTTCGGATATCGGAACTCGTAACTAATCCTCAACATATTAACAAACATCCAGAGCTAAACAAAGAACATAAATTGTCAACAACACGAACAGTCAAAACAGCGACAACAAACGTAAATTCCCACCCGCGGGACAGGTGTAAGGAAGTCACCCACGGCTTAATGCCTTGTATCATTTATTTAATTAAAACAAAAAATCACTTTGTAGAGGAACTCAATTCAAAGAAAATAATATAAAACACGTAAATAGGTCGGATATTACAAGACATTAAATAAACATGGTGCTGATAATTCTTCTGTACTTACGTGTTTAAAGGTGCAATATTTATGGTACCTGATTTTAGGGTTCCTTAGAGGACTACGGACTATAAGGGTTCCTTCCTACCATTTGCGAGATATTAAACTGTATGGTGCTAATTTTTATTCGAATACCCCCCCCCCCTTCCCCACCCCCTCCATCTAAATGCTAAACTATTGCCTCAAAAATTCTGGAAAGACTCATGATAATAGTGCTTTCTATGAATTATAATAATAAATGATATTTTCTTTTAAGAAAACTTATAATGGTTAAGATATATCAGTTAGTTTAGGAGTAATAGTCGTTCAACTTATGTATTTGTAAACAATAGCCTTAGAAAGAAATGCTCTAACCCACTACGTGACCCTTGTGCAGATTGGAAGAATTCTCATAAGATAGATATGACAATAAAAAATCTTTTTTGTTTAACATAAGACTTTTTTTGTTACAGAATCATACCCTCAGCCGGAACTTCCTCCGAACATGTTGGAATACATGTCACTGAAGAATTCCCTACCACCATCGCCGGTCGCTCAAACCCCTTCATACTTCGCACACACCGCAGTGAGGGTGCCCCCACCACAACCAGATCCTTCACTATACGACCGGAGGCTCACAACATCCTGGCTTTTAGCCAACCAAGTGCAAGCTCAAGGACTATTAAAACCATACCCGATCTCGCCTTGGCAAAGAATCATGATGCCCTACCACGACTCGAAGAACTTCTCCCCTTATATGAGCCTCCACAGCGATCTCCTGAACAGAATCAACACGGACGATGTGAAATCTGAGAACTCCGAACACATTTCTGTGGAAGCAAGCGATGACAGTGTCGACAGACCAGATACTGATGACAGGAAGACGCCTATTGAAAGAGAGAAGAAGAAAAATCCGTATTCCATTGAGGAGCTGTTGAAAAAACCTGACAAAATTGTGACCACACCTCCGATTAGTTTTCTGAGGCAACCGAGTGGAAGCATGATCGATTATAAAAATGAAAAGGACTCGAGCAACAGAAGCTCTCCAGCCAGCTACTGCTCAATACAAAGCAGTGCTTCTAATGACTTTGCGGAATCTGTATCGTCGGAAATTAAAGCAAGCAATTGAATTTTAGGGTGTAATCAGATACCTGAAGTTGAAAAAGTCATGTGTTAAAACAGTCATCAATTCTTTTGAAATTGAAACAATCGTATTACAATTAAAATAAGGTACTACGACATAACGTATTCTTGTTTTAATCCATGACTATGTTACAGTATCAGATTTTACAGTGATCATGAAATAAAACTTTCTAAAGAAAGTTACTTGTGTGCAGTTCAGACATTCCATGTTATCGATAGAAAAAAGTTAGACAGTGTATGATTTTACTTAAACATTACATTACTGCATTCCCAGTAACTCTATGTTAAATTTGTAAATAATTTATCGAAACCTGTCGAAGGCGAAATCGAAGAAATTCTTTTCCACTGATGTTATAATTTCACCATATTTACTCATTAAAATTTTAACTTGAAACTGGGAGAAAACTCTTCAGGCTATCCATGTAGATATGCAAACAATAAAATATCAACTTAGGCTGAATATAGAAAGGTCGCCTCTATCTAGAATTATTTCATACTTTCATATTATTCCTACTATTTCCTACCTTAACCGTTGTTATTCTGCTGTTTCTTTCCATATCTGATTAGTTTCGGTTAAATTTACAGATATCCATAATATCCCTACTACGCTAATGATTATTTTCTCCCATTATTAAAATGAAATTCTATCGATACTTGCTTTGGTATGCTTGCGTGGTAAAATTTTCAAATTTACTTAGATAAGTACTTCTTAATAATATCAGTCATGTATTAATTAGATATGTTACGTCTGCGTCATTATAATTTGCCATAAAAATATTTTTAAATGATTGCAATCTCGAAATCATTATTTGTTGTAAGTATTTAGTGAAAGTAACTTATTAAACTAAATTATTGTTAAGAGGATAAGTGTTAACAAAATTGTAGTAATGTACTTAATTATTAAGTAGAATAGGCATGTGATTATTTTCATAATTAGAATAATGGTACTGTGATATTTTAATAAGGATCTAATTTAATTAGCTATTGTAGCCATGTTAATTATTTGTTAGCGTTCCTAAAGCATTTCTGGAGTAGTAAGTGTTCTAAGCTCTTTTCCTAAACAACTCTACATTGTCTGTAGCCATGTCTGACTTTCATAAATAAATAAAAAGCAAGAAATTCATTTATCTAACGACAGTTTAAAAATTCCCACTTCAGGGGAAAAAAATATTGGTGACATATATGGGTTAGTAAGGAATATACGGGCTACATTAATATTTTTGCTAAAGCTCGTAAAAGACTACTTATTACAGATGTTTGAAATGTTAATTCCATTGAATTTTACGCTTTTATGTGTAAATATAGCAAAATTGTCCACGGTGGTTGGATATAATATTTGTGTAAATATTAATTTAAATTGTAAATTTTAGAGATGTCTGTTTGTGCCATAGTGGGTGCAAAGTCCTTGGTGTAAGTTTTTTAAATAATAGAGAAAAATAGGTAATTTTATCTACTGACGAACAGTTTTCTGTCAATCATCAAAAGATGGCGTTGATAAACAAATTTTCGCTTAATAATAATATAATAATTATAATATTTCCAACACTCACACCAATTAGTCTAGCCGCAAAGTAAGCGCTGGAAGGTTATGGGATACTAGGGTAACGGATAGAATACATATATACTGTACATATATGACTATATTTATTATAAATATACATGTCCAAGACTGGAGTACAAATGCTCGTATTCATCACACAAACGGGATTCGAACCCTGGGACCTCTCGAGTAGGCGATACCTTGAAACCCTGCGTACTAACCACTCGACCACATAGGTCGTAAAAAAGGCCGTAATCATCTGTAACTCAGCATTTTGTATACTTAAACTTACTTTAACTTTACTTAACTTTTTACTTTACACTCTCTTTTTAATATACAAAGAATAAGGTTGGATAAGTAACTAAAAACTGAATGACAATAGTTATTTATTATACAAGAGTGGAAAGTTCCTTTTTAACCGCGTGCTCGATTTGGATGACCGAGCAAGCGAAGGATTCTAAAGTTGAATCACGAGCGCAGCGAGTGATTCTAAATTAGAATCCTGAGCGTCAGCGAGGGAAACAAACGAGCACAAGGTGAAAAATCTTTCCACTCGAGTGCAATACGTAACTTTTCATCCCACCTCAGCGAGGAAATGACAAAATGAAAAAGAAAACAATTTATAATGACAAAATATTTTTATTTCAATTAAAACACATTAAGATAATCTATAAATTGAAGAAAATAATAAGAAGTAGAAAATAATTAAGAAATATTAAATGTAACGTTGCTACAGTTACTTATGTTAAGTTTAATATTTTTGTTAGGTAATGTTATGTTGGTGTTTGTGAATTGTGCGCTGTTTTGTGGTAAACTACTCGTATCAGTAATTTTTAATAGTTGTGCCGATTCATTGGATTCTATTGGCGTAAATGTTGGCGAGAGAGGGCTATTGTTTCCAATCTTATGGGGGCTCATTTTAGATGTAGAAGGGCGAGACCAAGAATCTGACAGAGGTTCTTTCAGCGTTATGGCCTCCACGATACTATTACAAATTTTTGATTTACTTTGGATTGAATCCTCTATGTATCCCTCTACAACCGAATTAGACTTCCAGCCTCCATGGCGCTTAAGCGATAGAAGATCAGCCCCTGATTCGGCCAAAAGTGTGGCTGAGGTTCTTCTAAAACAGTGACCGGTGTATAACGGGGGTTCTAAAAGTCCGAGAAAAGTTGCTATTTCTCGTGGAATACTGCCAATTTTATTCTGACCCATAGGTTGTCGGATACACTTTCCGTTGCGATATTGTAGAAAAAATCGTTCAATTGGGGTGTTAGAAGGACGTAAAGCTTGATATTTCTGAACAATGTTTACATATTCCTTGCGAATAACGAAGTTGCGGTCTTTTTTTGTCTTGGTATTTAGTACATTAATTAATAGCAATTCATCAGAATTATGAGAATATTTTGATACGTTATTGACATTAAGTAGTGTAAGTTCATTTGTTCGACATGCTCCGGTTATACCAATAATAAGAACAACCTGTAACAAAAGAAGTATTTATAATCGTAAATAAATTAATCAAATTAAAAATATTGTAAGTACTATGTACAATTTTATCAACAACAAAAAATTACACGTATTGACTTACTTTTGCCGCTAAATATACGGAATCAGGTGCTTCATTAATAAACTTTGCAATTTCAGATGCTGTGAAAACCTTCGATTTTTTTGGTTTATAACCAGATGAGGCTCTTTTTAAAAATGCCACTAATTTATGATAGGTGTCGATATGAACGTCTTTCTTCATCTTAATTGTTAATTTTAGCATTGAATACGTACTCCATAGCGTGCTTGCTTTCTTGGTCTCAGATAATTCTATAAAATATGCCAGCAAAACGTTTTCGGAGAAAGTTTTTGCTCCTTTAGCTAGTCGCCACATGTTAAATATATCGTACTGTTTCAAATACTTCTCTCGTGATTGCTGAGGGAGAAGGCTCATTTGCGCATTATTAACTGTTTCAGTTAACTCAGTTGGCGTTAGATAAACTTCATCGTCGCTAATGTCACTCATTTTAGTTGATTTTTTTGTACAGTTTTTAGGTTATGTTAATTATATTAAGCAATAAAACGTGAAAAACTAGAATGGCGCGAAGCACGCAAATAAAACAAAGAAACCAAGAAGGTTCCAAATTTAAATTTTTTCACAATTTAAAAAGTTCTAATCATAAATTTGGCACCATAGAGGTTACATTAAATAGGTTTAATGACGTTTTGAATTTACAATTATATTGAGTACTCATTATATGTGATGTTCTAAATTCAAATCTACTTTGCCGCTCAAGCGAATAAAATAGAATTTTCCAGCCAGATTTCGAAGCGCAAAATTACACTTTCCGAGGTGGTGGGATGAAAATGACATTTGAGTGACAGAAACAAATCACGGCGTAGCTAGTCTAAGTTTATTCCTTGTTTTGTAATAACGGGGACAATGATTAAAGTTTACACTAAGGAACAAATTACAAATTATTATTGTATGTAAATTCTATTTCTAGGTTTAAAGTCAGATAAGACGAATTGTATAGTAATTAGTGTGTAGATACGCAAATCAGTTGTTTATCTATTGCTGCACAATAAACCAAATATTAAAATATTTTATATTTTTTTTCTTTTCAATCGTACCCTTCATTTATCCGACTTTGTTCTAAAAGGAGGTGATTGTATATTCATTGTGTATAATGTGGTAGGATGATTTTATAAATCGAGTTTTCGTGAAAATTTTGCGAAAACGCGGATAATTAGAAAATTTAATTCATTCATTCATTGTTCTAGTATAGGTATATTTATTTTATTTCTTTAATTAGGACAGATATGGTAGGTAAATATATTTCATTTAAAATTGACAAGGACTCGATTTTTTTTACATTTTGCTGGTATTTTAATGATTTTAATTTAACTATTATTTTAAAGAAAATAATGAATTATTAGATACAGAAATGGAATGCGCAATTTCTTGTTTTTTCGTGACGAAATCTATCCACCTATTGTTTTAAACTTTCAGGGTTTCTCACACTCTTTTCACAAACACACAAACTTTCACATTTATAAGATTGGCAGGAGCAGGATTGAGGTGTTAAGGGGCTAAGATTTAGCAATTTCATGGCTATTTTCTAATTTACTTCGATTTCATTAACATCGATTAAAAACATTATATTAGCTAGTTAATAAAATAAATAGGTGAATAGTTTTTTATGAGTATGAGTAGCATGAGCACCACAAATTAAAATTTAGACATTGTGGGTGTTACTTACAATGCGAAGAGATGGCGCTGCCTTGCAGCCTAAGGCTAGAAAAAATTCGACACGGCCGTCAGGGCCGCGGTAGCATAATGGTCAGTGCATTCGCCCGGATAGCAAAGGGTGCGGGTTCGAGCCCCGTCTGCTGCCTAGTCCACGTGGATTTTTTTCTAGTAAACTTTTCTTTATACATATTTAAATATCTAGCAG